CAATAATTTATATTATTACCTCCTTTTAGAATGAAAAAACTGAGGCTTAGAGAGAGAAAGCAAGTTGCCCAAGGTTACACAGTGCTGAAGCTGGAATCTGTAAGCAGATATCCAACTCCAGGGATCAGGGTCTTCATCCAAGAGACAGCACCTCCTAAGGGGTTTATTTAATGATAACAAGGGTACAGCAAATGTAGATTAGTTTGTACCATCATTATGACTGGGAGTAAGAAAAGAGGAAAAGGACGTTGGAGAGCCCAGTAAAACTCTAAGAAGGTTACCTTGGTGCTTGGTTTTTGCACAGCACTGAGCAATTGCTACAGAAAACAACCTGCTAGTGGACAGAGTACAGGGTTTTGAACGAGCAGATAATAGACCTGAGTCTTGAAGTACAAATATGTGTTTGTCAGTGGACAACGGTAGTTTCTGCATTTCAATCAGAGCAAACTGTGCAACTGCAAGTCCCCTGAGTTGTTCCAACAACATGTCAGACATAAATAAGAGATGAGAGATGAGGAGGAAGAGGAAATCATGGACTCTATTCTAGTCTAATGAGATGGTGGATGCTAAGGATGTGAGATATAAGAGCCCAATAAATAGAGCTGTTGTTATCATTAATATAGTTATTATGGTTAACACTAAGCACCTGGAAATCATTGAAAGGCTCTTAGAGGAAATAACTAAAGGCAACAACATGATCAATATAAAATTTCCAATAAGAATAATCAAAACAGCCCTAACCGGTTTGGCTCAGTGGATAGAGCGTCGGCCTGCGGACTCAAGGGTCCCAGGTTCGATTCCGGTCAAGGGCATGTACCTTGGTTGCAGGCACATACCCAGTAGGGAGTGTGCAGGAGGCAGCTGATCGATGTTTCTCTCTCATCGCTATTTCTAACTCTCTATCCCTCTCCCTTTCTCTCTGTAAAAAAAAAATCAATAAAATATATTTAAAAAAAGAATAATCAAAACAGTAATAGATGTATATATTTCTTAAAGTTCAGCCAGCAAATAAATACAGGGTGGGGGGAAAGAAGGAGTACACTTATTCATATGGAAAATGATACAATAATTAATAAATGACACAAGAATAAACTGTGTTTTGTCTAGTTACAACTGCAAATCTACTTTGCCCCACCCTGTATATGCTGACTGCCTACTATGTTCTAATTGCTTTACGAATTAGTGTTTTCAATTCTCTCAAGAACCTTAGGTGCAGGATACTAATATTATTTCCATTTTGCAGATGTGGAAACAGGGGTACAGAATTCACACAGCTGTAAAGTAAGAGAACCAATATTTGATCTCAGGTAGCCGCTCTAGCCCTTTGTATTTAAGGACTCCCAGTTGCTACGCCTCAAGTATTGCTATCTCTTTGAAGGCATAAAATAATTTAGTGACATAGTGAAAAGAGCCTAAGTTTTAGATGTGACTATTAAAAGCCTCTTCTATTTTAAAATAATGCCCCAAAGTTTAGCATTCTCATGAAGTTTATGTGTCTGATTTTTCTACAGTATACCAGATATTTTCCCTTGACCCCTATGTCTTGTTCACTGTGAAATTAATATTTTAGCCAAAGAAGTAAGAAGTAGTCTGTAAGAGGGCATTTCATTGTTAGCACCTTTTCTTCATCTTTTAAGATATGTATTTAAATAAAAACCAAGTGAAGACAGAAATAGGCTCAATTCTGAAATCGTATTTACTCTCTACTGATAAGTTCGAAGAATCCTTTGGGTTATCAGAAACATTCACTGTGAACCATTCTGACCCTGGCCTGATGGTAAAGTTTCTAAACCCTTTTGACAGTTGAGCCTCAAATATCCGTCATCAAATTCCCTCTAGATTCTTTCAGCTGCTTATTTAATTGCCCAGCTGACCCAAAGTTCAACATTTTAATTTTAAGTCTTTTTACCTAAGGGCATAGAGAGGGACTGCTCTAATTTATTTCGCTTCCTGCTACTGCGTCCCCATAGTATGCTCTCCCAGCTACACATGATCATTTTATCTTCTCATTGAAAGTCAAGGAGGCTGCAAAGCCATTTAGCTTACCAGGAGCAGGTGGTAGCAGGTGTTAGAATACAAGACTCCATTACTTTGGGAGAAGATACAAATCACCCAGGAAGGGTTCTTGGGTCCACAGAGCAGCTGGGCTAATAAGAGATAGAGGTCTCAATACGGATAGCAATTTTTGTTTTCAAAATGAATAATCTTTCTCACATACATAGATTTCTCAAGATATCAGTTTATGTTTTTCTTTTTCTTTAATGTAATGATGAGACTGAAGTTCTATCATTTGCTAAGTGTTAAACATACAGTTTTTAAAAAATGGTCTTTTACTCAAGTTTAGTATTTCTTGACCCAGGTATTAAAGATAAGCTTCAGCCCTAGCTGGTTTGGCTCAGTGGATAGAGCGTCAGCCTGTGGACTGAAAGGTCCCTGGTTCGATTCCAGTCAAGGGCACATGCCTGGGTTGTGGGCTCGATCCCCAGTAGGGCGTGTGCAGGAGGCAGCTTATCAATGATTCTCTCTCATCATTGATGTTTCCATCTCTCTCTCCCTCTCCCTTCTTCTCTGTAATCACTAATTTGACTTTAAAAAAAAAAAAGATAAGCTTCAAATACCACGAAGCTCACTATCTAAATTAAAGTCTATCTCTGATCCATTTCAAGGAAGGGCAGTGGTCAAATGAAAGGGCACATAAGTCCCCATGAGCAGGTCTGGCACATAGAAGGCACTTAGTGAATTAGCAATATTAATTTTAATAATAGCTACTAATTAAGTACCTGCCATGAGCCAATGATGTACACAGATGTGTTTTCTATAAAGCTCCTGATACACACATGTAATGCCTATTTATAGATTAGTAGACTGAGTTTCAGAGAAATTAACTGACAGCCAGATAATTCTAAGCCAGGTCATCTGATTCCTGTGGTCTTGGCTCCATGTTGGTTGTACAGTATGGCGGACATCTCCCTCAGATGTGCAGTGATACATAGCATTCAGACTAATGATAATAGTCTGTCAACATTAATCATCAACCACCTTCCAGACCTTAAAACTTGTGTTTAGCCAAAACCGGTTTGGCTCAGTGGATAGAGCGTCGGCCTGCGGACTGAAAGGTCCCAGGTTCGATTCCGGTCAAGGGCATGTACCTGGGTTGCGGACACATCCCCAGTGGGAGATGTGCAGGAGGCGGCTGATCGATGTTTCTCTCTCATCGATGTTTCTAACTCTCTATCCCTCTCCCTTCCTCTCTGTAAGAAATCAAT